AAAAAAAAAAAAAGATTTTATTTATTTGAGAGATCACAAGTGGGGGGAGGGGCAGAGGGAGAAGCAGACTCCCTGCTGAGCGGGGAGCCTGATGCAGGACTCGATCCCGGGACTCTGGGATCATGGCCTGAGCCAAAGGCAGACACTTAACTGACTGAGCCACCCAGGTACCCTTTAGAGGGTATCTTATATAAACTAAAAGATTGGTGTCTCAGAGTTCTGGGGTCCAATACTAACACTGTTATATAGACCAAACGTATAAACATGTTTGCCTGCCTAACAAAATTTTGGACAAAATCCAGATTACAGTCTACTTTTAAAAACAGAATTACCTAGTAACTCTGGACCTACACCCTTAGTAACATGTCCTCTTTAAATACGACATGAACTTTCCAGTTGCTTCAGTTCCCCACTGCTTCCAGTCAGGTTTTCTCATTCATTTGCCTGACTGGTTCCTAAAGGCATTCAAGTTTGCAACCCCAAATAGCCTCCTAGAATCTCAGCCTTTCTAGGGCCCAGTAAAGATCCAGCTGTCTAAATGATGCTTGCATCTTAGTTCTTACTAGTTTTCAGACTATGTTTCTCTGTACCCCATCAAGGGATAGTCTAGGGGATGTGGCAAGAAGTGGATGAACAAGACAGGCTGAGCCATTCAGCCTCTCAGCAGCCCAAACTTCTGATTAAATGGAATTAACTTTGATTTCATTGTTTCACATACTATGCTTCCTCAAAAAAAAATTTCAGTTGAATCAAAGATTGGAGATATTAAAGGTTTTCTTTTGTTAGTGGTAGAGCTCTAGTTCAGGTGCTCAAGTCCAAACCCTCATTTTGCCAATGGGAAAAGAGACTTGTAGAGGTAAAGTGATTTGTCCAAGGTCACAAGGCTAGTTAATGTCGGAGCTGCCTACATTCAGATAACTAAAGCAGAAAGAGTAAAACTTAAGCAAACAATATCTGCCTCTTGCCTCTTTGCTATTGTTTGCAAATATGATGTGTACTGAAATTTTATTTTTTGTTAGCACATTAAAAACCCCAGTGTATAATATAGATTAATATTTAATTTAACATTCAGTTTTGATATCCTTTCAGCTTTTTTGGAAAATTCCTACTTATATAGAAAAAAAGTCTAGATTACCCTGATTCCAATTAAAATACAGCACTTCCTGTACCTCTGAAACAAATAATACATTATATGTTTAAAAAAAAAAAGAAGATAGTAGGAAGGGAAAAATGAAGGGGAGGAAATCGGAGGGGGAGACGAACCATGAGAGACTATGGACTCTGAGAAACAAACTGAGGGTTCTGGAGGGGAGGGGGGTGGGGGGCTGGGTTAGCCTGGTGATGGGTATTAAAGAGGGCACATACTGAATGGAGCACTGGGTGTTATATGCAAACAATGAATCATGGAACACTACATCAAAAACTAATGATGTAATGTATGGTGATTAACATAACATAATAAAATAAAATTTAAAAAAGAAATACAGCACTTCCAGTTTTGGAGACCCTAGATAGTTCACTGGCTAACAAATTCCAGCTACTCCATATCAGATTTTATGAACTGTATTAAAATAGTCACCAAATGCTTCCCTAGTGCAATACTTAGAAATCTTTATTATTACCCTACTGGATTCATGTTCATGGTTTCTCCCTTTTTCTACAGGTGGTCATAACGTCACGATCTCCTTGCAGTCCAGGACTGGGCACACCCATATGCCTTCTGTAGTTGGCGTCCTTGTCTTTACCCAGTTCTGGTTCTGGTTTCCTCTTTCACACTTCCTGTCATTGGCTTATACCCCTACATGTGTCATTGGCCTTAACAAGGACTTAAAGGTATGTTCGTGAGACCTCAGTTTTGAGTGTAACTTCTTCACTGTATCCTAACCACCCACTCACAAGAGTTTTCGTGAAATTTTAAAGGTTAGTTGTCATCTCACCAATATTGTATTTCCCCTTTAAATTGAGTCATGACCTTGTTGAGTGGAGTGTGTCAGTGGAAGTTTTGAAAATCAAATCTCATTACTAACTGTAACCTTGGATGAATCAGTTGAGAGGGAATGGTGAGAGGGGGCAAATATAAAAATATGAAAAAGCTTTGTAGATCACTCATCAATTTTATATAATACTGAAATTCTTTGGGAGCTTTTGAAGGATTTCATGCAGATAAATGACTTGATGAGATTTGCATTCTAGAAACAACATTCTGGTATCAGTGGAAATCTATTACAGTGAATGCTACTGCAGTAATCTGGGCAAGAAAGAAAGGTGACCCGAACTAAATCTCAGGAAGGAGTGAAGGTTTGAGACAGGACCATGTTTCATAGTTTTGTGATGCTAGAGTATTTAATGGAAGAAAGGATTACTGCTAAAGGGAAAAGGAAAATGGGAGGATGTCTCTCTGGTAGTGGCAGAAAATGAGGCCAATGTTGAGGAGCCGAGGAATCTGACAGAAACTGGTCACATGACTCAAGGACTGAGGGTGATACATCCCCTGTCATCACACCATCCTTTTTTTTTTTTTTTTTTTTTTAATGGGGTTTGTGCTTAGGTCTTTCTCAGTCCTGTGGCCTGATGATTCAGCTGTTCTTCTGTCTTCTCAGAGGCCTTTTGACCTTCAAATAACTCTTACATCTGCTCATCACTTCTGTTACAATGTTCTATTAAATTTCAAAGTGGAAAAATTGGGGGCCAGAAAATGGCTGATAAAGACTGAGTAGTTCATCCAGTTGACTTTTTTTTCCAGTATAGCTATACAGCCATTTATCCCTAAGTGTTTCAGTATAAAACTACTCACATTTATAAATATTGAGCAGTTTTATCTTTCAAAATAAGAATCTTTAGGTTTTCTAATCCCCTAACCTTTAACACTGTGGTTAAACATCCTATATAATCTATAGGGACTTTTTCCTCTAACACACAGTTTTCTGATCTGTTTCCATTCTTTACAAGGAAAGTGGGATTAAAAAGACAAGATTCCTTATCCTAGTAAACATGATGCCTCTTACCATTCTCTATCAGTGTAAATTGGGGAAATAGAGAAAAATTCAGACTAGTGAAGTCAGCACCTAGTCAGTAAGTAACGTGAAGCTGACTTTTTCCATTAGACTCATGTTAGACTCTTGTCAGGGATTATGTGGTATAGAAACTGTACAGACTTGTATATATTGTTGGAGTGGTATAAGGAGGGTACGTGGAAGTTAGGTATACAGGTTAGATAGCCAAATAACACTTTACAAAGGAGGTAACAGTTGATCTGATGCTTACACCGTGAGTGGGACTTAACCCACTGAAGCAGGGTACACGTCCAGTAAAGATGAGATCAAGGGGTGCCTGTAAACAGGCACAGAGTTTCAGTAAAGCAGGGAACTGCAGGTAGTTCCGTAAAGCACTTCAAAACAAATTCAGTGTAAGAAGACAGATGCCTATAAGGGAGTACTGTACGAGAACATTTAGCCTGGATTGAAACTTTATTGTATGCTTGCTAAGAGCATAGGATTCTTAAATCTTGATTTGGGTTTTTTTAACGTAAGGGGGAAAATTCTTTTATTTCTTCAGATGCCGAAAGTTCAGTATAAATCAAACTGTAAACCATCCACATTTGCATATCCTGCCCCTCTGGAAGTACCAAAAGAAAAAGAAAAGGAAAAGGTAGGTTCTTTGTTCCCTTGAGCAGCATTTATACTTATATATAGAAGCTACTTAGTGTTTTACTAGGGTTTGTTTTAAATATTTTTATGTTTTAGGGGCCCTGGTGGCTCAGTCATTAAGCATATGCCTTCAGCTCAGGTCATGATCCCAGGGTCCTGGGATCGAGCCCCACATTGGGCTCCCTGCTCCGCGGGAAGCCTGCTTCTCCCTCTCCCACTCCCCCTGCTTGTGTTCCCTCTCTCACTGTCTCTCTCTGTCAAATAAATAAATAAAATCTTTTAACAAAAAAATAAATATTTTTATGTTTTAAATTAGATATTTTCAAAGTAACACTCTTATGGTAAAATCTAACATTACGCAAGAATGTAAAGTAAAAGCGCTTTTTCTTTCCTGGTCATCCAAGTCCCATGTTGCAGGAATCATAATTTGAACCCCTCCAAATGTTTTCTCCACACATATCAATACTTTTTCCACCATAGATAGAATTATTTTTGACATACTGTTCTGCAGCTTACCATTTTTACTTTAACAATTAATCTTTAAGGGGCGTCTGGCTGATTCAGTCAGTAGAGTGTGCAACTCTTGATCTCAGGGTCCTGAGTTCAAACCCACATTGAGCATGGGGCCTACCTAAAATAAAACAAAAAATAATAATCTTTAAAAATTTCAGTATATATGGATCTCATATTTGCCCCAGGCAATCCCTTTATGTATATATACCATTATTTGTCTTCTCGGTTCCTCATCTGATGGACATTTTAAGGTGATTTCTAATTAATCACTGTTACAAATGAGATTAGAGTAAGAGTCTTTATACACGTGTATGTGTGAACTTGTACAAGTGTATCTGTAGGTTAGGATATTAGATGTGATTGATTAAAAGTAGTGTACATTATTTATTTTCATAGGTATTAACTAAATTTCCTTTCAAAATGGCTATAACCAACTTATATTCCTCTATCAGTTGTGTATGAGAACATTCACTGATGTGTGTTAAATCAAACTATAGTGAATTAGAGAGCTGCACTTATTCCTCAGTTTTCTCAGTAAAATTATCCTTTCTGATACCTTATATTTAAGAAAATGCTTTTTTTCCTCTCAAGGCAGTGTTCCATATTAGCCAGTTGTTGATTATTTGCTATAAACTTTGTGTGTAAGTGGGGATATTTATATAATTGACCAAATTTGAGGGTGGTGGTTGATGATTATCCTCCGGCAACATCTCGTCACATTTCATCAGCTCTGTTTCAAACCCCCAGCTTTTGGGTCAGAAACAAAATCAGCTTTATACCAATACTACCAGCCTTTCAAAGTCTTCTTCACCCTCGATTTCAGTGAGACCCATCAGGAAGGGTAGTTCTAGGCTAACCACTTACCCATTGTGTATTACAATTGTAGGACATCAAAATCAGTAAGAATATCTTTATGACCAGGTTTGGAGGAAATTTTTATGTTTTCTAGTGCTTTCCCTATAAAGTAAAAAAGGGTGTAGCACCCAAATATCCCAGAATCTAATGATAGCGAATCCACATTTAAGGTAGGCTAAGATTAAAAAAAAAGAAAAATTAGAATATATTGGACACAGCCTCCAGGAACTAAAGAGTCACCTGAGGACCATAGTAGTAAATAATGTGAATAAATGTGCAGCTTGCTTTTCCCATTTATTCCCTAATGATCTGATTTTTTATGATATTTACTGCCAGGAAACAAAGTAGTATTGTAGAACCGAGTTCTCTTTGGGCTTGTACCTTTGTACGTAAGTAAGAGATTATAATTACCCTGTTCACTTCTTCTAGGTTTCCACTGCTGTGTTATCTATTACCGCCAAGGCTAAAAAGAAGGAAAAAGAAAAGGAGAAAAAAGAGGAGGAGAAAATGGAAGTGGTAGGTATAATTTGGTGGTCATGTGGGTTGATACATCTATCTCTGTCATGGTCCAGATTCTTCCTTAAGTGAACATTACCATACCTTGCTCTTGGCTTCCCTTAAATAAGTATCCTGTTCCAAGCAGAGACTCCTATAGTTTTAATTGGAAGATACTTGAGTTCTTGGAGAAAATGACAACTAAAATGGGTTTTGAAGGGCGGTGTAGAATTTTCAGACAATGAGATGATGGTGGGAGAAAAAAAGGCCCTTTCAAGCAAGGAGAATATCATTTATTTAAATAGACCCTCTTTTTCTGGTCTCTCTTGATAGAAAAACCTCATCCTTTTAAAACCAAATTACATAGCATTCTCACCCCTAAGCACAGTTACTCTCTCTGTCCTCTGAGTCTAGTATGACTTTGGTTGTACTTTAATTATATCTAATCCTAGCTAACTTTTGTACCTGAGAGTTGCTCAGTAAATTTATCAAACATTATTCAGTGATACAGAAGAGAAGTGAAACTTTGTTGGGCTATTTTTTAATATTTTCCAGGATGAAGCAGAAAAAAAGGAAGAAAAAGAGAAGAAAAAAGAACCTGAGCCAAACTTCCAGTTATTGGATAACCCAGCCCGAGTTATGCCTGCCCAGCTTAAGGTCCTGACCATGCCAGAGACCTGTAGATACCAGCCTTTCAAACCAGTAAGTTATCGATGGCCCTTAGCTATATACCAGTGGGATATTAATTCATGGGACAGTGGTATATTCACAGAGGAGGATAAATCTCCAGAGCGTTGGAGAAAGCTCTCTAGTACAAATAAATGTGTATATGAAGAATAGTATAAATGTATTTTTGTTTGTAACTCTTCTGTCTGGTTTAAAAGGTAAGTGCATAAAGCAATCATAAGTTGATGTGCACACACTGTATAAAAGTGTAAAGTTAAAATATGCATTAAATATGTCAAGGTTCTGGCTGCTATAGCAGATTGCCACCTACCATTTAAAACTGAATGGCTTGGGGCGCCTGGGTGGCTCAGTTGGTTGGGCGACTGCCTTCGGCTCGGGTCATGGTCCTGGAGTCCTGGGGTCGAGTCCCGCATCGGGCTCCCTGCTCGGCGGGGAGCCTGCTTCTCCCTCTGACCCTACCCCCTCTCATGCTCTATCTCATTCTCTCTCTCAAATAAATAAATAAAATCTTTAAAAAAAAAAAAGAAAAAAAGATCTACTCTCTTAACTTACAATTATAAAAAAAAATAAAAAAATAAAAAAAAATAATAAAACTGAATGGCTTAAACAACAAACATTTCTCCCAGTTCTAGGGGGCTAGAAGTCCAAGATTAGGGTACCAGCATGATTGGGTTCTTAGTAAAGGCCCTCATCCTACATCTTCTCACTGTATCTTCATATGACAGAGAGAAAGGAAACTAGCTCTCTTCGTGCCTCTCCTTATAAGGGTACTGATTTTATTACTAATGGGGTCTTCACCCTGGTGACCTAATTGCTTCCTAAAGGCCCACATCCTAATACTATCAGGGGGTTAGGATTTCAACATATGAATGGCAGGGTGGAGAGACACAAACATTCAGTCCAACAACACAAAGGAGTAGGGAAATACCATTATATTGAAGTGTAGTTTTTGTATACTATTGAAATTAAGTTACTCTTTTTCAGTGAGATTAAGCTGTTAATAGCAACCCCAAAGGGAACCACCCAACAAAATAACTCAAAAAGTAGACTAAAACAAGAAAATTAAACTCAGTACACTAGAAAATATCTGTTTAATACCAAAGAAGCCAGCAGTGGAAGAATTGAGGAACAAAAATATGTAAGACATACAAAAAACAGCAAAATGGCAGGAACAAATCTTAGTTATCACATGAGAGGTCTTTTTTTTTTTTTTTTTTTTTTAAGTAACCTCTAGGCCCAACGTGGGCCTAGAACTCATGACCCCAAGATCAAGAGTCTCATGCTCTACCAACTGAGCCAGCCAGGGGACTCTAATCACATAAGATGTAAATGGACTAACCATACCAGCTAAAGGGCAGAGATCAGCCAAATGGATAAAAAAGAAAATGATCCAACTATATGTTCTCTGCCAGAGACACACTTTATGGGACACCTGGCTGGCTCAGTCAGCAGAGCATGCAACTCCTGATCTCAAGGTTGTAAGTCCAAGCCCCACCCTTGGGTGTAGAGATTACTTAAAAAGTAAAATCTTAGGGATGCTTGGGTGGCTCAGTCAGTTAAGCGTCTGGCTTCAGCTCAGGTCATGATCCCAGGATCCTGGGATCAAGTCCCACATCGGGCTCCTTGCTCAGCAGGGAGCCTGCTTCTCCCTCTGCCTACAGCTCTCCCTGCTTGTGCACTCTCTCTCTGGCATATAAAGAAATAAAAAATCTTTTTAAAAAATCTTAAAACATACACACACTTTAGATTCAAAGATTGAAGTAGATTAAAAGCAAAAGGTTGAGAAGATATCCCATGTAAACAAGTAACTAAAAGAAAGCTGGAACAGCTATACCAACATCAGACAAAATATACTTTAAAAGAAAAATTGGGGGGCACCTGGGTGGCTCAGTCATTTGAGCATCTGCCTTCGGCTCAGGTCAGGTCATGATCCCGGGGTCCTGGGATCGAGCCCCACATCGGGCTCCCTGCTCAGCGGGGAGCCTGCTTCTCCCTCTCCCTCTGCCTGCCGCTCCCCCTGCTTGTGCTCTCTCTGTCTGTCAAATAAATAAAATCTTAGAAAGAAAGAGAGAAAGAGAAAGAAAAGAAAAATTGTTGCTGGAGACAACATTTTACAGTGGTAAAAAGGTCATGAGCCGGGGGCGCCTGGGTGGCTCAGTCGTTAAGCGTCTGCCTTCGGCTCAGGTCATGATCCCAGGGTCCTGGGATCGAGCCCCGCATCGGGCTCCCTGCTCCGCGGGAAGCCTGCTTCTCCCTCTCCCACTCCCCCTGCTTGTGTTCCCTCTCTCGCTGTCTCTCTCTGTCAAATAAAATAAATAAAATCTTTAAAAAAAAAAAAAAAAAGGTCATGAGCCGCCTGGCTGGCTCAGTCAGTAGATCGCGCAATTCTTGATCTCAGGGTTGTAGGTTCAAGCCCCACATTGAGTATAGAGATTACTTTTAAAAAATAAAATAAAGGGCGCCTGGGTGGCTCAGTCATTAAGCGTCTGCCTTCGGCTCGGGTCGTGATCTCAGGGTCCTGGGATCGAGCCCCACCTTGGGCTCCCCACTCAGCAGGAAGCCTGCTTCTCCCTCTCTCACTCTCCCTGCTTGTGTTCCCTCTCTCACTGTGTCTCTCTCTGTCAGGTAAATAAATAAAATCTTTTAAAAAAATAATAAAAAACCTAAACCATGTTGCTATAAGGCTCTTCCCTTATGTTGTATATATTGCAGGATTTGAGTTGGATTATTTCATTCCAGTTGAGCATGAAATAGTACAGTTATAACCTGGAGCCATCTGTTTCCAAAATACAGGAAGTCCTTATTGTGAACATAAGTATTTTTTTGTTTGGTAGACGATTCATCTTTATTTGGTCCTTTAGAAGGCTCAGGTAAACTTTTAGACCTTGGAGGATTAGGACAGTGGCCTTGTACTATGATTGTTCTTGGGTGCATATTGGTAGTAAAGGCAGGGTCCATTCATAAAATGGCTTTCTTCAAGGAAAGCAGACTTTTTAAGGGAAAGAGTTAGAAAATAATGTGTATGAATATGTATGTTGAGAGAAGGGAAATAGTGCAGAAATTCATGAAGGCACACCAGTTTTATAGCATGGCAGGGCAAAGTTCCAATGAATAAAAATCAGATTAGGTTGAACTGCAGAGCTATTTTGTATATATGTGAATCATCTGACTAATGTGCTTGTGCTGCTTTTCCTTCCCAGTAATTTGCTTTGGTAGAAATAATGTTTTTCCAGATGTGTCTTGCCACTTGACTGATTTAATTACAGAGAGTAGCTTTCCATTTCCTTCGACACAGGCAAGCAAATAGAGTAAGATTAGCACACAGAGATGGGTGAATAGTTTGGTGTGTGAATTTACTTCTGCTGATATGTTTGGGAGAGGGCTAATAAAATGCTTCTACACTCTAGTTCTTTTTTGTTTCCCATCTACTACGTCCTCGTCTTGTATTGCAAGGATTTGTAGATTAAAGTGAAAAACATTCAGTGTATCTGTGATATATGTTGTTCACTCTGTCATTCTGAAATCGCTGGAAAGAAATTGGCTTTTCATTTGTAGATTGTCTTTTGTATCCAAAATGATAGTTTTCTCACAAGTACTAAAGTATCTATTAGAGTAGTGTGCTTCTCAAACTTTAGTGTGCATACATATCACCTGTGGGTCTTGTTAAAATGCAGATTCTGTAGATCTAGGTCGGGCTATGTTTTCTGCATTTCTTTTTTTTTTTTTTAAAAGATTTTATTTATTTATTTGAGAGAGAGAGAATGAGAGA